CACCATGGTTAAGCCACCAGTACCTTACGGAGCACTCTGCCGAACCTCTTTTTTCCCCATGCGACGAACCTCTTTGTCTCATGGGAATACAGCTGGTAAGTGGTCGTGATATGGGGAGCTACCTGTCTTTCAGCACGGGTGACCAATACTTCTGTGCTGTTTTTTTTTTTTTTTTTTTTTCCGTTTGTTTTCCCCCTTCTTTAATTTTTTATTCCCGTGGTTTTCCTTTTTTCCCATTGGGCACTCTGCTACTGGCAGAGGAGTTGAAGAAGGCCTGAATAGGGGACTCGTCGTCAGTCGAGTGCTCAGCACAACAAAAAAAAAACGAGGTGGGGAGTTGAGGCTTCGCTCCACTACTATTGAAATGCACAAAAGACAAAAAACATGGGGTGTATCTTTCCATGTTCTAGAGGAAGATTTACTCTCATTTTGCACATTTCTATAGTAGTGGAGCGAGGCCCTTGTGCTCACACAAGTGCTACTTCTAGATGCATCTGCCCACAACCATCGCCAGTTTCGTATTATGGTTTTTGTGTTTTTTTGTTTTTTAGACTTAGTTGAAGTACCCCGCCAATGTGGCAGGCGCTTTCCACAGAAAGCTGACACTTGCAACCGAGGGGGCTCTCTCACTATTACTCGAGGTTCTGTATCCATCTGCTTTCACGTCCAGAGAGTCAGAGCCTTTCTTTTTTCTTTTTTTTCAAGATTCTGTAACTCCCGTGTTTCCCTGAGGGCTGTAACTGGATTCTCACGTGTACCCAAGATTCTGCATGATTTTTTATTTCTCTTCTTTTACTTCTCTTTTTTTTTTTTGTTGCTTCTCTGGTGGGTCGTTTCCGTTTTCAAAACGAACGACCACCGAGGCATAGGCGAGGTTGCACCCAACCTCCACCAGACCTTCTAGCGGCTTCCATGAATTCAGGCCGTCCAAAAACTTTCGCAGGGATAGGTACTGGTGGTTTAAGACCATACTAAATCGGTATTCTAAGCGGCAACCTGTGCAGAGAGTTCGTATTAGGGTTCCCTTACCCTGATAACCCTCTCATCTTTGTTCTCCCACGCTACCACCAATAATGCACTTCACATAAGTTCACAACATTCTAGCCAAAAGGTGGCCTTGTTTTTCTAGCTTGCCGTGAATCTATAAGATCAGCTCTCGTGTGAAAAGCATGAGAAGAGAGTGAGGTACCTCGTATCCATTTATTGCCACACCATCAAAGATGTTATACCCAGCAGAATCTTGTGAACATACTTGGAGGAGAGTTCAGAGATGGGATCAGTGTGGAAGTGATGCTGCATTGTTTCTTAGTACTTGGTATGTGTTACACTTATGGTTGTTGTGTCTCTGCAGGAAGGTTGATGAGAATAACCTAAGTGGGATGGTTCCGGAGTTTATGGGGCAATGGAAAAACTTGCAGCTCCTGTAAGTGGATTTGGAGGAGACGGATGTTTTTTTTTTTCTCAACTTGTCATGCTACAAAGTGAGGTCTCTCAGTCTGGCTTCAAATTAAATTGAGACGTGATGAAGCTCCCAATCCAAAGTTCAAACATTTAAGCTTACATTTCAAGTTTGACGTTGAGACCTGTCTTTGCTTTCCTTCACAGTCAAGACATATCTATCCCCTTCCTACTCTTCTCCTCTTCTCCTCATCTTCCTCACCAATTTAGTCTCTCCGTGAAAAGTGATGATCCCTGCAGATATTTTACAATTGTAGTCTGACTCCTTCGGTTTGGCCCTTTCTCATTTTGCTTTTTTTTTTTTTTTTTTTCAAACAAAGAAACAGAACCTTCTGGTTCTGGCACCAACCGTTCAGGGGAGCAACAGTCCGGTTCCAATTCCCGCAGTAAGTCGAAAGGATTACAGAGGTTCTCACCCACGCTCGTCATGGTTTGAAGGCCCGAGTGGGTGGCATTGATTACTTCCCGACGGAAGGATATACCACCCTCACCCCTGCCTAAGTTAGCCTACAGGACTTCCTTCCATGACTTGACACTCATCTGTCCTACGTGTTCTTTTTGACTCCTGTAACTCCTGTATGTCGGCCCTTGTTACTTAGGTTATCCGTTTTACCCTAAGCACTAGAAGTGTCGTCCTGGTTGCTGTGCTATTCGTCTCTCTAAACCCAAAGCCCTCGCCTCTCTGTCTCATACTGGCTCCTCTCAGCTATTAGGCTATCAGATCTCTTGGGAAGCTAGAGCTGTAGGAGGTCTTGACCTTTACTAATACTCCTGCTTGGTATGCTTTCTACTTAACTCCCAAACTTAACTAAGCTAACTACACCTCTGACTTGGACCAGACAAGACTTAGAAAGAGGATTGTGTCACCAAAAGCTTTCCTTGCTTGGCGGGCTGAGCATTAGGCTAGGACTGCCCGAGTGGTTGAGGGAATTCGGGTTGTGCAGTGTTAGTCTGGGTGCTGGCTATGTTGGGGGGTTGAGGTCCCTATCCTGAGTTCCTGGCATCTCTGAGTTGTGTGGTTGAGTTTGGCTGCTGCCTCTCCACTGGCCAAACCTTAATTATGTCGTTTTGAACCTTTTCTATTGTTGCTATTTTCCCTTCCCCTAGTTGTCGTTTTTTTAATTCCTCTATGATTGTGTCCTTATTTTCCATATTTTGCATGACTTTATTGTAAGTTCTTTTCCAGCGGCCTCTGTATTCTGTCTCTAATAGTTGCAGTGTTTCCTTCCAAGCCTCTTGAGCGGCGATGTTCGGGGTAGTGTCCTTTGTGTTTGTTAACCAGTCTCCAGGTGACCATTTGAATGGACTTTTCAGGAGGGCTAACGAGCTATCCGGGATTGAGATTAGGATGTTATTAAGGTTGTCCTGCACATTGTGGCATCCCTTCATGATTTGCCTTAGTTCTCCTACCGGCTACCATCTTCCTTCCGAATGTTACCAAAGATGCTTAATTTCCCATATTCCTTTTTCTACCCATGACATCCACTTGAGATCTATTGTTGTTAGTGTCCATTGTTTGCCCTGGGGGCCTAGGATCCACTGATTGCAGAACATGGGTGGCGAAGTACTTCTTCTTTGGATTTTGGCTCTCTTACCCTCGCCGGGAATATTTCCCTCCAGGTTATCAGAAGGTTTCTCCAAAAATCCCAGGTCTGCCCCTCCTCCGGCTCATCTGACTTGGGATTTCTGCTGGTGTTTCTGGGAGTTTTGACCTTTGTGAGTTGGTTAATTCTTCTCAGGCCCAGGTCTTTTCTAGAGGAGATTATTATTTGTTAAGATTTTCATGATCCATTTAGTCTGCATCTCTTTTATTTGGGTCTCTGGGTCAAGCACTCCCAGGCCTTGGTTTGCCTTCGGCTGGGTCACGTTTGGAAATGAAGTGGGTTTTAGAAGGGTCCCCTGCCCACAGATACGCCGCTGCCTTCTGCCTCAATTGTAATCTTGCCTGTTTGATCAGTGTCCAAATAGTTGAGGCGTACCTTAGCATTGAGAAAATAGAGGCATTTAGGATTAGGGTTCTCCCAGAGATTGAAGAATAGACCCTGGACCAGCTGCCCAATTTAGCTGTCATTTTGCTCATGATTGCTGGGGTCATTGAGTGATTCAGGCCAGATTTAGAGACTTGGATTCCCAAAAATCTAGGGGTTTCCTTGCCTTTAAAGTCTAGACAACTGATTCCTTCTGGGGGTCTGTTAGCCACCATCCTATATTTTAGACCAGTTGATTTTCATTTTGGAGGCAATTTGGAATCCTTGCATTGCCCTACCGTCTTCCCCCGAGCACAACACACCCTCATTTTGTCTGTATCTGGCCGGAAATACTTGTATACATTCATTTTAAGGGTGCATTATGTTCGGGGGAAGACGGTAGTTCGTGCTTGGAAAGAGGAGTGAAACGCTCGTATCAAGACAGTCAAATCATCTGCGAAAAGAATTAAAGTTGGGACAAGTGGAGGGTATCTTCCAGCAGTCTTTCTATTGAGGGGTGCTTTCTTAGGAAGGACGCAATGGCGTCCATGATGAACAGAAAGATCAGAGCTGCTAAGGGGTCTCCTTGGTGTACAGAGCGTGACATTCGGTACGGATCATACTTGCGGCGCACTTCTGTGGTGCGCCGTGCTGTGCGTGTGCGCCATGCGCCATGCGGAAATTAGTGATGTGCGGATCATGCGCCCAAATTCTTTTTTTTTTTTAGGGGTGTGTGTGTATACAGGGGGGGGGGGAGAGAGAGAGAGAGAGAGAGAGAGAGAGAGAGAGAGAGAGAGAGAGAGAGAGAGAGAGCAACGGATCCCATTAACATGGCTCAGAGGGCCCATGCAGGCAATCTGAAGGGTCCTCGCAGCAATGTACCGGAGGCCCTCCACGATACATGGAGCCAAGGATCCACAATGTGATGAAAAGGACTGAATGGACAATGCAATGTCAGTGAAACATCAACAGGCAATGTACATCCTGATGCATACAAAATGGCACAAAGTAGCGCAGTGGACCTGACCTGACCGAGACTGACGCGACATCCCGTCATACACCACACATGTGAGAGGAGGAGGAGGGACCACACACATGGAAGAAAGGTCCCTCCTTTGTACACGCACATGGGGCGATACCACAGATGAGAGATGGGGGGAGAGGCGAGACGAAGATGGAGGCGAGGGAGAAGACCGAGATCGCAATAGCGAAGTCCAAAAATAGTCCCTTGCCGATGCCCAATCAATGTCTGCCTCAAAAATGTCGGATCAGATCCTGGGCGCTCTGCCCACAGTAACCTCTGGCTGTATCCTCTGCCTGTAACCTCTCTCTCTCTCTCTCTCTCTCTCTCTCTCTCTCTCTCTCTCTCTCTCTCTCTCTCTCTCTCTCTCTCTCTCTCTCTCTCTCTCTCTCTCTCTCTCTCTCTCTCTCTCTCTCTCTCTCTCTCGTATCTGATGAAGAAGAAGAAGAAGAAGAAGAAGAAGAAAGGAGGAGGAAGAAAATGGATGGAGGGAGATGAGAGGGAGACCGGCGAAGAAGAAGAAGATGTTGCCTTCCTCGCTGTCTCACCTGCAGGTGCTGCCGCCGAGCTGACCGCCGTCCTGTTATCGTTGTGTGCAGGTCGCGGGCGCACAGGGAGTCCCGGCTATGGCGCCAGGTAAGTCCCCTAACGCAGGTATGGCCTCCACCCCTCTGCCTTCCGGTGTTCAGCCTCCAACTCCGCAGCGCAGCGCTAAACAGCGCTGTGCTCAACCAGCAGCGTGTCGCTCAAGGAGTGAGCTACTCTAACTGTCCTGTACCCAGCCTCAGCCCAGCTATATGTAGCGCTGGGCCTGGCTGGGCGGCCCACCCGGTCTGGGCCCCTACCGGGTATCCAGACCACGCTGCTGATGCAGCAAGGCGCCAAAACGCGCCTGGTCTGAAAACGGCCTCCCTGGTACTGCACCAAGCCCAAGGCCGTGCCTTGGGGACTGCAAGTCTGAAGCGACGTCTGAACAGACAAAATAGGACAGCACAAAATAAATAAATAAATAAATAAGTGAATGCTGCCTCAGGCTGTACCTGCGGCCTAAAAGGCCGCCGTGGGCCTCCAGGGCGCATCCTGGATGGCACGCGGCCTGGGGGCCCCTCAGCAACCGCCGGGCCCCTCGAATGGGGCCCGTGTTCAGGCGCAGCATATTAAGTCAAGCCAGGTTGAGAGCGAAGCTGACGATCTGAAGGTGGAACTTGGACGCGAGCGCGACGTGGAGCCGAAGATGTCGGCTTGCCTTGCAACTTGCGTGCGTAGCGCGCAAGAACATCCGGAGCTGTTGCTTGAAGTTCCGCGCGGGTCAACCAACGGTCAGCTTTATGAGTGTAGTACGCAAAGTGTATTTTGATGAAACGCTGGTAGTAGCTGGAAAGGCCAAGAAACGAACGGACATCTGTGACATTCCTTGGCTCCGGCCACTCTTGGATGGCTTGAATCTTGTTCGACAACGGACTGATGCCCTCCGGTGTGACAAAATGGCCCAAGTATTCCAGCTCTTGCCGGACAAATTCGCACTTGTCATGGTTGGCTTCGTACTTGGCGTGGTGGAGCGTCTCCAACACTCGTCAAAGGTGCTCAAGATGGTCCTCCAATGTCCGGCTATAGACGAGAATGTCGTCCAAGTAGACCTACCTACGAAGAGAACTGGTGCTCCATATGGTGAGCTACTAGGGCAGATCCAGTCCTTGTCCAAAAAGTCGGCCAGTTGTGTGCGGAGGACCGTAAGCTCCTCCTCGCTCATGCAATAGATGCAACCTTTCGGCGGCACGGCACCGGCCTCAAGAATGATCTCGTGAGAGAACGACCGATCCGGCACCACACCGGTAGGTGACTCGAAGATGTCGGCGAACTCGTCAAGCGACCGCACTATACGGGGGTCCGAAGACAAGTCTGTGAGTGAAGAGTTGGCTACCACGACGGTTCGTAGGAAACATAGGCCTATCTCGTTGGGCTGCTCGTACGCACAAGTAGCCCGGAACGACTTGGCCGTCACCACTTGGCACCGGATCGAAGGGCGAGGAAGAGGCATTGTACCCGACACTTCGGTGCCAAAGGCGTCGCGGATGGTAAGAGTCCGCTGATGGAAGTTTACCGTATGATCCGCACTTGCAAGCCAAGGCATTCCCAAAATGATATCGAAGTCCGTGTCCAAAATGTCGAACATTACCGATTCGCATGCATGAGGTGTGAAATATACAGAGACGACCTCGATGTAGCGGTCGATAAGTTATTGTGTCTTTCCGTCCACCAACTTGATCGCCGTTGGGGTTGCCTTCCTCCAAAGTTGTGCACCAAGGCCAGCCCTTTGCATAAAGGCTTGGCCCATGAAATTGCGAGTTGCGTTGCTATCCAGAAAAGCGCTGCAAGACGCTTGCCCGACTTGGATGCGGACGTAGAGGAGCGGTCCGTTGTTGTCATCGTACCGCTGCGTGTGAAGCCCATGGGCCACCTTGGTAACATACGCAAGGATGTCCCCTACCGCAGCTGAGTCATCCGTCGACGAAGTTGGTGGTGCATAGAAGGATAAGTATGTGTGAAGATGAGCGCAGAGTGCTGCACATTGCGGTCCCAGTAAGCGGCCCGTGGTCGGGAGAGGAAGCCATGCGAAATCCTCGGACGTGAGCGGGTCCAATACCTCTATATTGAACTCGCGCAACGAATCCCGTGATGAACCACTTGAAAACGATAAGTCGCCGCTTCAAGGATGGAGAAGATACTGCACATACATCTTGTCCTTGAGCATTAGTGCCCAGCGTAGGAATGAGCCGGGCAGCATAATTCTCAAAAAAATATAAGATGGGAGGACTGTCGACTTCGGCATGTGCCTCGGAACGAAGGGCGGTCGCACTCGTAGCAACTGGTTCCGAAGGCGTCGAGAGTGTCGTCGACTCACTCTCGGTGGTGCTCACTTTCCTGACTGTTTGCCCTTAGCTTTCAAAGGACAGCCCACTGTGTAGTGGAGATCACTATTGCGCTACAAACAGTACCGGAATCTCCTGCGTATCTTGTATACGCTTTTCGAGAGACCATAGTGGGTCCATGGGTCTTGAGCTGCTGCACCGGGCCCGGGTTTTGACGTGGTGTTGGCCTTCGATCTGCCGCGTCCGCGGCCTTTGCCGGGGCGGCCACCATCCCAGGCGGCTGCGAGTCTGTCCCCCTCATTGGCAGATGCAGCCTCGCTTGAAGGGTCATTCGGCGTTGCCGCCGTGACCACGGCCACTTTCGGCCGATGCTGTTCTGTGCTCGGGCCTGCCTCAGGCGAACGGTGAAGGTTCTTGGCCTCCGTGTTCGTGACGATGATCTCCGCGGCCTTGTCAAAGAGTTCCGCAGTTGTAGTGAGAGTGTCAGCGACTTGAGTCAACGCGTTGGACAATGTCGGACACGACCTCGAGATGAAGTAGTGTTTGATGGCCTGAAAGCCCATCGGTACACTCGGTGAGGATGCCAAGCGTTGGAACTCGAAAATCCAATCCCCGCTCGGCGGCGTGTTCTGGTGGAACTTGATCAACTTGTCGGTTGCTTGCATTTCCGACGGCTCTATTTGGAACCGCTTATACCACGCGGCCGTCAGATCAGCCCAACTGCAGGTCGGAAGCCACCACCTCATGTGTGGATAAGAGATTATCCAACCAAGCTTGGCACGCGCCCCCCGACCGGGAGTACAAATACGTGTGTTTCTTGTCTTCGCTGGTGTGGTGGAGTTCTAACTTGAGCTCGAGCTGGCGGAACCATGGAATTGGGTCCGTCTTCGTAGAGTTGCAGAAGATCTCGTCCATCGAACTTCGGAATAGTCTCGTGTGTGGACGTGGTCAGGCGAACGGCGGCAGCGCAGATCTGCTGCTCAAGTTGTTGAGTGGCCACTTGCTGTGCCCGTGCGCCGTCCATGAGCGTTCCAATGTTGATCTCCAATGCGTCGAGGCAATAGGCGGTGTTGGAGGAGCTGGCAACGGGAGTGGCGACGGGTTGTTGCTCCAGCTGCTTGAGGCGACTGTTGACGTGCTTGACCTCTTTGTCGAGGGAATGGATATCCTCCTGTTGTGCAATGCATGTCGCCAGGAGGTCTGTGAGGTGGGAGAGCAACAGTGAGATCTTGAGTCCTCTGTCATTGAATGCGCCACCCTCGGCCATATTGAGTAAGGCTCTCTCCTCCCCGAATACCTTTTCGCGTCGCATGTTGCGTTCTTCATCAACAGCCTTTGCTGCTGCCTCGTCGTGCTGGCGCTGTTGTTCCACCGCCAGTAGACGTGCTTTCTGTGCATCCTCTGCCTTCTTCTTCACTGCAGCTGCTACCACATCCGACTGTTGCTTAGCTTCGGTAATCAAAACCAGCATCCGGGCCTGATAGGCCGTGGCCATTTCCCCTGGCTTCTGGTCCATGACGGCTGCTTGAGAGCGTGTGAGCATAGACCAGGCGGGGGAACTGCTGATGTGGCACTCTCTGCTGCTGACGTGGCGCTGTTTAGCTGCTGACGTGGCACGGCTGTCGGCTGACGTGTTGCTGACATGTCACTGCAGACGTAGCCCGCGGACATGGGCTGCTGACGTGGCAACTCACCAATGCCGCAGTAGGGAGTACCTGGAGACAGATGAGAAGGGAAGAAAGGAGGGTGCAACAGCATAGGTGGGGGTGGGTGGGATTGATCGCCCAGATAAGGAGCCACTAATCAAAAAGAAAAGTTGGAACTCTGCAAAAAAAATTCGAGGAATTAATAATTAACAAAACTCGATTTTGCAACTTAGGTAGGTCTCCCAGTTCCCGAAATTCGAAATAAGTAATAATAATAAAAAATCGAATTTTCAGACTGCAAATGAATAATAATAATGATAATAATGAATAATTAATAACGGAACTGCAAAAATTGTCCACAAGTTCCGGGAATTCCAAAAAATAAAAAAATTCGGAATTATCAGATGAGAGTTTGTGCAGAAAAAAAAAGAACTGCCAGAGAGGTTTTCCGTAAAAAGAAAAAAATTGAAATCTTGAAAGAACGGAAAAACAACGAAATAATGGATTTTGGAGTTATCGTTACTGCGAGGATCTGGGTCCTTGGCAGGCCTAAGGGGCCCCTGCTGCAAATGTGCCCGCTCTAAGTGAAGGCGGGCCTAACAAATCACGAGAGGCCTCGGCTGTCAATTTCCTATTTGGGGTCCAGGCAGTTTCGTCGCGTTGAGGGAAACACAGACCGAGCAGCGAGGAAAAATCCCAGGCCTTCCAGGCCTTTCCGAAATGGTGCAGGCCCTGGACGAGAATGGCAGTCTCATACACAGACAGTTGGGAGGCCCAACCAAATGAGGCCCAGTAGCTGCAAGAGAGGCGCAGCATCCTGGGGCCTACCGAAAGCTTCTGGGCCCAGGCCAGTCCAGCCAGGCTGCCGAATGAGGCAGGCTCTTTCCATATAGGAAAGAGCTCGCTGCCTGGCCGGTCATTCGGGCACTCGCATCCTGGCGGCAGTGCTGCTGGAGCTGAAGCTCGTGGGCTGCTGCTAGCGCTGAGAGGCGAGGTGCAAGCACGTGCGGTCGTGCAAGGAGGAGGGTGCTGCTGAGGGCAGCGCCATAGCCCAGCCTCCATAGCTGGCAGGGCTTGGATGTACAGTGAGGCGCAGGGGTGGTCTTCGGGTATACAGGGGGAAGACGTGGGTGTAAGACGAGGGAGAGAGAGAGGGAAGGATGATGATGATGATGATGATGATGATGTGAGAGCACATACCTGGTATTGGCGATGGTCTGTATGGGCGACAACTTCAAGTACTTCGGAGGCTGAGAGGGAAGGATGATGATGATGATGATGATGATGTGAGAGCACATACCTGGTATTGGCGATGGTCTGCATGGGCGACATCTTCAAGTACTTCGGAGGCTGCTGACGTCAACAGTTGCATTGTCAATTAGTAGGCTAGTAGTAGCTGTGTAGGGAGTAGGCTGGGCGCCAAACGCCAAGTAGAGAGATAGGGGCTGGATACATATGTTGGTGGTGGCGAGAGCAAGCTCTCATTGACATTGGTTTTCAGTGCTACGATTCTCCATTGGTGTCATATCGGTGCAATGCTGCTTTCTGAACACTGTGATACGAACTGGCTTTCAATGTGATTGTGAAATCTGAATTTTGTCATCTCGCTTCTGTTCATTTTCCTTGCATTACCATTAAAATGTGTGAAAATAAAGAGATCAACGCAAAAACAAGATTCAAAAAGAAAAAAAAAATTCGGATTTTTGGGAATAATGGGAAATAGTGAGAGAAATGCAAACCGAAATTTCTGTGATGCATGAATCCGAAGAAAAAAAAATGAATCCACGCAATATTCTGAAAAGAAAAAAAGTATTTCGGATTTTCCAACAATGAAATTTTGAAATTCAGACAAAACGAGAATCGGCAATTTCAGATGCTGCGTTATTTCGGAAGCTGTGAATTTTCAACAAACGAGTTTGTGCTAAAGAAAACATTCCGGAAGAAAAATTTTCGATTTTCGGCAGTTAGGTCAAAATTCGCAATTTTGGGGACTGTAATGACCCGCCAAAACACAGACTGAGAACACTGCTGATTTCTGGGATTTGCCGCTGGAATGAATGCCTTGCTGAGATTCCCGCATTCTGCTGTGGTTTCGAAGTCTGTGTGTGTGCGTGCCGGCTGGTTGTCTGAGTGCTTGTCGGCTGAGTGTGTGTGTGTGACCCGCAAGGGTACTTGTTGGCTGACGGCCCCGCAGGGCCGGTACTTACCTGTGGCCGTGACTTTGAGGGTTGCTGCGGGGAAAACACTCGAGTAGCGGGGGTAAGCCCGTGACACTTAGAGTAGCGGGGAAAAACACTCAAGTAGCAGGTAGGCCGGTACCACACAAGTAGTGGTAGGAGTGTCGGGTACTGGAGGCCAAGCAGAAGAAGACAAAAAGTTGACATTTTTAGAGGCCCAGTAGAGGTAGGATTAGAGGTAGGCCGGTACCAGTCCAAGTAGCCTGAGTCTAGGGCCTGTCCGGACGATAGCAGAGCCTGCAATGATGTTTCCTTCCGAAAGGGAGGAGGTACCGGTTGCTGGGAGGCCGCTCGGCCTAGGAAGTCACCGCCCAAGAGGCCAGTAGGCCGCTATATCTTCCGTAGGAGCAATTAGCTCCTCCTTGTTTGCGGTATGCAAGGATTGGCGACATGCTGCTGAGCGAAGCGTTGGACTGGTACAACGCTGCCTGGAGGTGAAGGGCAGCTGGACGCTCAGCCTGGCTATGGCGAGCAGCCCAGCCTGAGGAGGAGGAAGAAGGGGGCGAAGGAGGAGAGTGGCGAGGTACCTACCGGGCTATGGTGGACATCATCTTCATCACCTTGTTGGGCGTTGCATCTGGAAGACCCCAGTTGGGGTAGTGCTGCATCAAGGAAGCTCGAGGCAGAGTCGGGCATGGCGGCTTAGTCAGCAGCGGCATAGCTGCTTTGGGTTGTCCTTTGGACAGGAGTGCAGCGCCATAGCTGCTTTGGGTTGTCCTTTGGACAGGAGGGCAGGGCCCTCAGCAGTCCGCCATAGCCTAGGCTTGTGAGAGGTGGAAGAAGGGGGCCAAGCCATAGCTATGGTGGACCTGTTGTGGTTGTTGTTGTGTCAGCAGTAAGAGGGAACTTCGGATATTGATTCTGGTTCATCCACTCATTATTATTATTATTATTGGAAGAAGAATAAGATTGGCGAAGTGAAAGAGGAGGAGGAAGGTGGAGAGAGAAAGGGGGATTTGTCATTGGTCTTGCTGGTGTACATCTTCGTCTTCTTCTTCTTCTTCTTCTTCTTCTTCTTCTTCTTCTTCTTCTTCTTTCTCTCTTCTTTGGTCTCTATCTCTTTGCAAGTGCTTTCATTTCTTTCGCAATTGGGTGGCATTGTCTTTCATTGTGAATTTGCACTTTGGGAATGACCAGGATCGTAACAATTGGTATCGGAGCGGACTTACTTGCTGGCGAGAAGTGTTAGTCACCCTAAACCTAATTCCGAATTAGGTTAGGGCAAACCTAATCTCGAATTAGGGTTGGGAAGTTAGGGTTAAGAGGGGCAGTGAGGTATGTGGATACTGCCCCCACCTGATTAGGTCATGTAGGGTCGACATCAGACCTGACCAGGTTGCTTGTGTGATTGGATGGGGTGGCTGATTGGAGTAAGCGAGAGGGAGTAGAGAGTGAGAGGTACTTGCACCTGGAATCTGTACTTCAAGAAGACATTGAGTGACTTTTGGGCTTCCCCTCAAGAGGGAGACTTGATCGGAGGCTGCCATATCTGCATCGAAGAGCTGCAAGTTGCTACTTTGGTCTTCAGACATCGACGGGGGATTCGGCGTTGTAACAGGGGTGTAGAGAGGCCCTCTTAGTCATGCTAGGACACTTCATGTAGTGGTAGCTAGGGGTCAGGAGGCCTATGAGAGAGGGGGGTGAGTTGTTATCCATCTTTGGAGGCCGGGCCTCACAGGTAAGTGCCGTGTGACCTGGTTATGCCCGTGGGAGGTTGCTTGGTGCTTCGTGGCCTGGTGGGCTGTGCTGGGCTTTCTTCCTCTTCTCTGCAGTCTTGGTTGTGTGTGTGAGCATGTGGATTGCTTTCTCACCTGATGGATGGATGGATGATGTATCTCGTTCTCAATGACATATTCTTCTACGGTGCATTGTTCTTTTTTCATTTCTGAATGGTTGTAGGGGTAAGTTCTCGCTGAAAGTTGTCTTTTCTTTTTCAGTACGGAAGAGGCAGTTTGGGACTGACATGGTACACCTATCTCGTTGGTCCTGGTCCACGACCTACTTGGGACCTTCGGGACTCAGTGGGACCAGGCCCAACGGGACATGACCTTTAAGGCCCAAATCTGTTGCCGTCAATGCATCTCTTTGCTATGCTGAATTTGGGGGACATACGGCTAGTAAGGGCATTCCTTTCAAGGGGATCTTSACTGGTCTTACTGCATGTTCTCACATACTGCCCCGCGTCTGGCTCAGCGACCGTCTGCACCCCTCGAAATCCCCATTGCTGCAGTTTTTCTTCGGCTGACTTATTGTGGTACATGTTCCTTGTCAGATTAGACAAGAGGGGATCTCCAGCTAATATGATCGGGCCCGTTCGTTAAGTCGGTCCTCTCTTTTATTTGTTTTTATTTATTTATTTATCTTTATTCTGCTGCGTGAATGCCATTCTCTAAGTCCAAATGAATCTCCACTCTGGCTAGGAGTTCTACCTTCTACTCTTGGTGATTTACTATTTTTCTTTTATTTGAACTATCTATGTCCAGTATTGAGACGCGTGCGTAGAAAGCGGAAAGAGAGAGAAGGTAGAGAGAAGGTGTTCTTTTTGAGAGTGTGAGGAGCGGTAAGAGGAGTGTTCATCCAAAAGTGAGCAGAGTGCAGACCCCTCTTGAGAGATCTACTGACGCCCTATCCTCCGACATGGCAGACATCACGTCCGAGCAATGGAAGGCCATGCTAGACGCAGCGGCCGAGAGCGAGAAACCTTTCTTTCAGAAACTTTATGAGGACGCAATGCACAGAGAAAGGGAGGCAGAGGCAACAGCCAAAGCCACAAGTATTGCGGAACAAGTGGTCCTCCTCGAGGTTCCGGAATCGAATGATGACCGGTTCCAAGAGAAGCTAGTTGCTGACTGCGGACCTTGGAAGATATAGAATCCCGTGTGACAGCTCTGAAGCAGCAGAACCAAGAGCTGCAGGCTGAGATAGTCAGCCTCAAACAATCCCAACCGTCTGCTCCCCATCCTCCTAATCCTCGACCTGCTGCAGTCCTTGTCTCTCACCCTAACACGGTCCTGTGTCGAGAGCAAGTGGAACTCTGACAAGCGCAGGAACCGGTGTCAGCTCCTCAAGCGGCAGCGCCGACAGTTCTGCACTGGTCCTAGTTCCAAACGCCGGAACATCAGCCCAAAACGCCGCAGTTCTTACTAGCGTACAGTGGACAAGCGGGCGGCCACTCTGCCGTCCAAGTATGACGGAAAGGGGGAAATCACCTCTTGCATCAGCTCCATGCGCTCCATACTTCGAGGTACTGCGAACACCGCAGGAAGAACGAAGCATGATCATGGGCACAAATATTGAGCCCGTCGTACGAAGTTTCATAGAACTCCAAGCTGTTACTGCAGGTTATGAGAGTATTGACCTGACTTAGTGGCTGAAAGTGACTCCTGTACGTACTCTTGAGGACCTCCTCATCGCGAAGTATCAAGATAAGCACGCTGCGCTCAAGGCAAGGTTGAAGCTTAAGGCCCTCAAGGGCCAAAAGTGGAGGACTTCCATACAGGTTTTATAGCAGCACTTGATTGGTCTGTTCACCACTCCAAACCTGGGATGGACTGACGTGTCTTGCATGGATGTAGTTATGGGAGTGACCCTTGAAGGTTATGTCTCCCGGCTAGGACTCAAAGACCATACGACTTGGCGAGAGCTACTGACGATCTAGTCAATCTAGAAGCCAAGGACCTCGCTAGGCGTGCAAAGGCACCCGTTGCAGGTAGAACCTCACAACGCAAGCGGCACGAAAGCACCAACCAGCTTGCCCTGCATGGACATCGAGAGGTTGAGGAGCAGTCCTATGCGGATGATCTGTCTCTAGATGACGATCTAGAGCCGGACTCTGACGTGGGTTGTTCTACATCAGCCCTTGAGTCTAACATGAATACTGAGGAAAAATGCAATGCCTTTAAAAAGACTGCTTCAAGCAAGGGGCCTAACCGTGGTTCGGGTAAGGGGACTATAGCACACCTCCCCAGGAATGCAAAGATCCCTGAGAAACTGGAGGATGCTTCCACCAAGCCGCGGGAAGCCCTCCGCATTAGTCAAAAGGAATGGGAGAGAAGATCCAAACTGTGCGTGTGCTTGCATTGTCAAAAGCATGGGCACGCTGTGCAGGATTGTTATCGTCTGCAAGGAAACAGGCAAAGGGCGTAGAAGAGTCATCAACACTCTCTACAACAAGGGAAGCTGAATAGTCGGCTGCAGGCCCCTCCAAGGAGCCTGAATCTGATCAACAGCCTGCTCTTGAAGCCCGGACTGATGCTGAATCCAAGGCTGCTGCAGTTCAAGTACTTTACATTGAGCCTTGGGAGGAGACTAAGGAAGTCAACTTCCACTCTCACCTGGAACATTGGCTGCAGCTCAAGCAGCAACGCCATGTTCAAGGGGGTGTGGAACTGATCTTCTTTAAGCTGCTTATTAACCGCCGATACATCCGTGTGCTGATTGATAATGGCTCAACGACAAACTTCTTTTCTCCTAACAGGATTCGTAAGGCGGTCCTGGGAATGAAGAAAGTGGAATTGCAGAACCCTTGTCAGACCCAGGTAGGCAACCAAGAGGTTGTCACCTCAACTCATGTTGTCAAAGGTGTGCGCGTCACTTTTGACAAGGATCGCACTGTTACACATGAGCTGAACTTTTATGTCATGGACAAGTGTCCTTTCGACGGGGTCATTAGCTTGGGCTGGTTAAAGGCTCATTGTCTAAGGACCACGTGGGCGGATACTCAGTTCGTGGTGCGTGATGCCAAGGGGAACGAGCGTACCGTTCTATTGGACGAGACGCGTGAGTCCCCTGTTACTCTCTTGAGTGCAAACAAATTTTGCAAATCAGTGCGCAGGCGCAAGGAAGCTGAGCATGTGCATGTAGCTCTTGTAAAGCCTCTCCATGTGCCTTCTACTTTTGCTGCATTTTCTACCTCGGAAAGTAATTCTACTTCTACTACCTCTACTTTTGTTCCATCTACTTCTACTGTAAAAAATCAGTCTACTTCTGATCCAAGTACTTCGAATTCGGTTGTAATTGCTGTAAATTCTCAATCTGATTTTCTCTCTCCTGATGAGGATGATCGTCCACCGGAAGTCCCAACAAACATTCACCGTCTATTAGATCGATTTCCTGAAGTTGTGGCTGAACCTCGAGCAGTTCCCGAGCGTCCGGTCAAACACAAGATCGAGATAATAGAAGGGAGTGTTCCTTCAAAGGGTTGCGTCTACCGTATGGGATAAGGCGAGTTGGAGGAGTTGAGGAGACAAATTGATAACATGATTGATCGTTGGATGGATTAGGCCTAGTGAGTCTGAGTTCGGTGCACCTGTCTTGTTTGTGCCGAAGAAAGGAGGCAAACTCCAGATGTGTATTGACTATTGTGGCCTGAACCGTATCACCCGAAATAACGCTTATCCTTTGCCTCGCATAGATGATCTGCTAGATGTTGCAGGTGGGTGCAAGGTCTTCTCCAAGATCGACCTCAAATCTGGCTACCACTCGTTTGAAGTTGATCCGAGTGACCAACACAAAACTGCATTCAAAACACGCGATGGGCTGTACGAATTCACCTTTTTGCCCTTCGGTCTTACGAATGCACCAGCCACGTTTCAGTGCCTCATGGACAAGGTTCTCCGCCATCAGCTCAACAGGTTTGTTGTTGTTTACCTTGACGACATCCTGATTTTCAGCAAGTCTATGGAAGAGCACGTCCAACACCTTGAGGAGGTTTTGCAAGTCCTCAATGAAGCACAACTGCACCTCAACTTAGAGAAATCTGAGTTTGGAAGGGACAGCGTCATCTATCTTGGGCACTGGTTGTCTGCAAACGGCCTTGAGCCGGAGGCAACCAAGGTTGAGGTCATACGAAAGTGACCTCAACTGGCAAAAGTACGCGAACTGCGTTCTTTTCTTGGTTTGGCTTCATATTACTGGAAGTTTGTGCCCAAATTTTTTGTCATTGCTTACCCACTCTCGAGACTAACAAGCAAGAATGGTGCCTATGCGTGGTGTGAGAAATGCGAGACTGCGTTCCAAGCCTTGAAAGAGGCTTTGGTAAATCATCCTGTGCTCCGCATTGCGGATCCCAACCTCATGTTCGTGGTCACTGCGGACGCGAGCCAGTATGGGATTGGTGCAGTGCTGCAACAAGATGATGGCGATGGCCTGCGTCCGCTCGAGTATTACAGCAAACGCATGCCGAGCCACAAAATATATGCGTGAGCTCTATGCCTTGTGAAAAGCGCTCACACATTGGAAGCACTACCTCATGGGTCGCCACTTCAAGGTCTACTCAGATCACCAAACCTTGCAGTGGATCAAAACGCAAACTGATCTCTCTCCGACGCTGACCCGCAGGTTGCATGACATTGATGTTTACAATTTTGAACTGAAACACAAGAAAGGTTGTTATAATCGTGTTGTTGATGCTTTGTCGCGCCATCCCGAGTTTTTGACTTGCCTTGTGGACTCATATGACCTCCGAAGGAAACTGAAGGAGGATCTGGTCGAACATACTGCCAAGGATCCAGACCTTAGTCCCATCCTTGAGCAGCTCAAGGCTGACCCTAGCAGTCGACCTGATTTTCATGAGTGTGAGGGTCTTGTATTCCGCCGGTATGGGAAGTTTGATCGTTTGTGTGTACCCAACCATGCGCCTCTCCGGACTCGTTTCTTGGATTTGGCACATGGTCGGAGTGGACACTTAGTCTTTGAGAAGACTTATGAAAGTCTTTTGTAGCAGTTTGATTGGTCGGGAATGAAGGGATATGCTCTCAGAAATTTATCGCCGAATGTCAAGTCTGTCAACGAACCAAGGTCCATAGGCATAAGCCTTATGGCCTGCTGAAACCCCTCCCAATTCTTGATTGGCCCGGTGAGTCGGTCTCTATCGATTTCACGGACATGGGGAAGGTGAGCGAGGGAGGACATTCACAAGTCATGGTCATTGTGGATCGTTTTTCCAAATTTCTGAATTTGATTCCTCTACCTCCTCATGCACCAATTGAGCTTGTGATCGAAGAATTTCACCAACAATACATTCTGCGGTATGGATCCCTGAAAACTCTTGTGAATGATCGGGACGCCAGGTTCATTAGTGTTGATTGGACAGATTTCACTTCGTAGATCTACGACATTAAACTCAACAAGACTTCTGGTCGACACCCCGAAGCCAATGGATTGGCCGAGGAAATCAACCAGACTGTCATTCAATTACTTCGCGTGTTAATTGTTCCAGATCAGAACATGTGGGACAAGGAGCTACACAAAGCGAAGGGGTTGTACAAGAACTCCATTCACTCTGCAACTGGTGTGACACCGAATCAGTTGCAATATGGTTGGCAGCTGCGAAATCTTCTCTCCTATCTGTTCCCCGAACGGTCACCTGGTCTGACGCCCGGCATGCTTGGCTACAATGCTAAGTACGCACGCTTGCTCAAAGCTGCTATCGCAGCAATGAACAAGCGTCAGCATGCCATGATCAAACATGCTAACAAGTCGCGCAAAGAAGGGAACTTCGAAGTAGGAAGTTATGTCTGGGTCAAAATGTCTGAGTTTTCTGACGAAGAGGGCGTATCACGAAAGCTTCTTCCATTGTACTATGGCCCTTGGCAGGTTCTAAAGGTGATTGGGGATGATTTTGGTCCTTCGTATGTGATTGACGTGCCTCCTCATCTGCGCACATATCCAGTCTTTCACGCTTCCAAACTGTTTCCACTCATCGATGACGAGATTTTTCCCTTCCAAGATCCTATGATACCTCGTCCTATCGACGGAGACCATGAGATAGACAAAATTGTTTCCCATGAAGGAAGAGGGAGGAACCGACAGTACAAGGTTCACTTCCTCGATCACCCGCTTAATGAGTTTTTCCGGATCGACTGAAAAGAGCTGCTAAAGAGTGTTCCACGTGTTGTTAACGCTCATGAACGACAAATCGCTGATGGACAGACTGCTAAGTTTTCTGCAAAACTCACTCCTCACGGTATTACTAAATCTCTCGTTCTGATCTACGCCTACGACGCGTTTTGTGCCGACTCTGAATGAGTTACTCGCTCGAAGGGATCTCGCTCTTGAGAGGGGGGTAGTGTAATGACCCGCCAAAACACAGACTGAGAACACTGCTGATTTCTGGGATTTGCCGCTCGAATGAATGCCTTGCTGATATTCCTGCATTTTGTTGTGGTTTCCAAGTTTGTGTGTGTGCGTGCCTGCTGGTTTGCATGCCTGTCTGAGTGCTTGTCGGCTGAGTGTGTGTGTGACCCGCAAGGGTAGTTGTTGGTTGAAAGGCCCCGCAGGGCCGGTACTTACCTGTGGCCGTGACTTTGAGGGTTGCAGCGGGGAAAACACTCGAGTAGCGGGGGTAGGCCCACGACGCTTAGAGTAGCGGGGAAAAACACTCAAGTAGCAGGTAGGCCGGTACCACTCAAGTAGTGGTAGGAGTGCCGGGTAGTAGAGGCCGAGCAGAAGAAGACAAAAAGTTGGCATTTTTAGAGGCCCAGTAGCGGTAGGATTAGAGGTAGGCCGGTGTCGGGCGGCCGCAGACCAGTCGGCCACCCGAAATACAAGGGATTGGGCCTTGGGTTGAGTGCCTAGGGTGGAATCGACCGGGATTTTCATCAGGGCCATCGGGAAAAATTAGGGGTCGGAAAAGGATCCCTAAAATTCCCCCCATCGATTATTGAAACTAACCCTTGAAATCAACATGAAGGACGGTCGCGCCTGCCGCGCCTAAGTGAGGCCCTTATCCTCCTGGAGTTCCACGGGCTTTGGTAACACCGGCGGATGGACTAGCTAGGCCGGTTTTCTGGTTACGGAGGTATGGTCTATATGGTGCGACCACTGGACCGACTTTGGAGCGGATTGGTGCTACACGACGCCACTATTTGGTCTGGCTTCTGATTTGGAACTAGCACGGTACATTGGGTCGGTAAAGGTACGGTATGACGACAGTGGTGCAGGCCGTTACGGTTCGATGATGAAATGATTGATACGGCTGACGAGACGGCGGGCATATGATGGTTGGTTCGGATTGGTACGACTTTAGGTTCGGCACTGGCATGGATGGCACAACAATTGGTTCGTGGTTCGACACTACTATTTTTCTGATACGCTTATTGGCCCGGCATTTGCAAGACTCACCACGATTCGAGACTGTTCTTTCTGGTACAGATACTGGTTTGGCGTAGATGGTCGCAGAACCGACTCTGTTCTTCAGCCATGGTCACGGGTTCGTACGGGAAGTGAGCCGCCTTTTATGGCGATTGATCAAAAGGGATGGTACCCAATTCAATGGGACCGAGCCATGATTATGACATGTGTTGCAGCTGGTACCACTGTACCTGCGATGGCTCTACAACCTTGGTACTCAAGAGGAAATTGCCCTAGGGGCCCATAGCCTCTGGTGCCGCGAGGGTACAGACTTGGCCACCGACGAAAAATGCATCCGACAAAAGGACCGAGGGGGACCAGTCCCAACGGTACCGACACGCTGCCTGACCAAGCTATTCAGTAGACGGGGAGTTTGAACTTACAGGATGCAGTGGCGCAATATAGGGGGGAGTCCGGACTAGAGAAGGACACAGAGTGCCTGGTGTCCGCAGTCCACTTGGACAAGGCCCGGTTGAGGGACATCGGTCAGGAGGAGCGAAGCTCCGGTATAGGGAAGGTGTGCAGGGAATCCGGCGCGAGCCTCGCGTGCACTGCCTTCGATCGAGAAGCTGAAGCAAGGGAGGAGTTGACCCGGTCAACGGGCAGAGACAGTGTTCCTCACGTGAGGCGAGCAGTGTTCGCAGCAGCGGATTGGTGGGGATTGGGACCGAGCAGTCTGGAGGTCCGTGCACGGGGTGCACGGCTCACCCGCGCTCTCGTGCCTGCCATGGAGAAGCGAGCATGATCCGCAGCTGCAGTTGTGAGTACGACTCACTGATCTAAGGTAGGCGGTAAACTGCTGTCCCAAGATGGCTGAGCAAAAACTCCGCCTCGACAATCTGGTATTGCCTTCTGATCCAAAAGCGGGTTGAAACCCTCGAGATTAAAAGCGGTTATTTCTTTTTTTTTTTCCCATGTGAGAAGCCGTCTCCTGAGCTGCTAAACCGTGGACATAGTAGAACCTAGCAAGGCAAGGCATGCAGACCTGATCTAGCGGGAGTTGCGTCCCCGTTTGTTTGGCAGACGACGGGACCTAGGAGTAAGAACCCGTCTATGCTTTCTCTTGTGTCCTGACTGAACATTCATGAGCCTGACTAGCCCTTGGGGCCTGAATCATTAGCTGTTGGGTGCCCTTAGTGGCAGTCTTTCCCCTGGGAAGAGCAAATGAAAGTGTAAGCGAGAGAGAGAAGAAAGTGTGGGGGGGATTGCGTGCAAAGGCCTGACAATATACGCGAGCGGGCGATAGAGCAGGAGCGAGAAGGACGAGTGGGAAAGCAGTCGGATGTGAGAGTGTGGCAGAGAGGGAAAGAGCAGTAACGCGAAAAGTGGGGAAGTCGAATCGGGCCGCGCGCGAATGAAGAAAGGGGAGAGGCTATGAGTCGAGCGGCAAAGGGGTAGTGAAGAAGGTTAGAGCCCAAACAAGCGGGTATCCTTGGGATCGGCTCGCGCATTCGCAGCTCGATCCGCCGCGTGGCAAGCCCTGGGGATTAAAAGGGAGCTTAAGGCGCTGCTCGTTCCGGGCTGCATTAACTGAGGGGTTGACTAAGTGAACGGGCTCGCTGGTTACAGGAGATCAGATCGCTTGACACTGCGGGGGTTGACTCAGCGAACGAGCTCGTTGGTTACAGGAGATCAGACCACTTGACACTGTGGGGGTTGACTCAGTGAACGGGCTCGTTGGTTACGGGAGATCAGATCACTTGACACTGTGGGGGTTGACTCAGTGAACGGGCTCGCTGGTTACGGGAGATCAGATCACTTGACACTGTGGGGGTTGACTCAGTGAACGGGCTTGCTGGTTACAGGAGATCAGATCACTTGACGCTAGGGGGTTGACTCAGTGAACGGGCTCGCTGGTTACTGGGGATCAGATCATTCGACACTAAGGGGTTGTCTCAGTGATTGACTTGTTGATTACTAGAGATCAGGGCACTCGACATTCTCGGTGTTAAGGACCGAGCCAGTGAATTGGCCTGCCGCATATCTTGAACAAGTCGCTAGGAGCTAAGGACTGAGCCGGTGAATTGGCTCGATTGGCTCCATCTAGATTGACCCGGAATAATGGGCCTTTGGTTTATCCCGAACAGGTAAGATGCTTGGAAAGATGCTTTCTTCGTGATCGAGCTCATATGTGTGGTCTGTTGGGTTGCTCCCTGACCTGCTTGAGCTAAATCCTGGTAAAATCACTCGTTAACACTCTCAAAAGGAGGGCTGCGGATAGGCCCTCAGGTGTACATTGAATCGATTCAGTCGATAGGTGTGCCGCCATTTTGTTCCGATCAATATTAAACACCATACCCTTTTCGCTCTTAATTTATTTATCATTATTTTTGTGACTCTTTGTTTGCTTAGCATAAGGGCCTCCCTAGCACGGGGCTGGATTACGGGCTGTACTAGACTAGACGAGAGTCAGAGAGAGAGAGAGAGAGAAAGAGTGGGTGAGTGAGAGAGACAGACCGCGCACGACAAAGAGGACGGAGAGAAAGAGTGAGAGGAACCTGAGTAAAGGGACTTTACCGACAGCCCCCCCGGGAGATCTAATTAGTGTACGACCAGATCAGACACGCTGATCTAATTAATCATCGTATACGGGGAATCGTTAATGGGGACGCATTAAAATCGCCTTAAGCGAGTAAAAAGGGGGGGAGGGTAGTTGCTCGAGAAGAAGTGTCCACAGGCTCAGAGCGCTCTCGCAAATCGGGAAGTGCAGAAGACAGAGAATGTGAAGGCGAACTGTCCAATGTTCTGGCAAATTTATTCTCCGAACCTTTTCTTTTGAATGAAGGTCTGGCATCTTGGTTCCCTGTTGATCGACCCTTGACTCTAGTTCGCGGAAACGCTCTCGTTGAGCGCAGGTAAACTATCCCGTTGAAAGGGGTACCCAGGATCGAATGAACCGAGCAAACTGTGACTCTCCGAATTGGGCCAGAGTTCAAACTTCGGGTGCATTCTGAGTCGACCGAGTTAATGGAATCATCACTGTTTCATTTTAATTAATTATTTTCTCTTTTCATGAGCCTGGTCTGAACCATCACGATCTTTCTGGACCAGACACGGTTTGTCGCTTGCTGGAGGGATGGGCAATAGTAGGCGTGACACAAACGGGAACAAATCTTAAAATTCTTCTATGGACTCGAATTGGAAACTAAAGGAAAAAGAGTCACCACTACCTTCGCTCGAGCACAAGCGACTTCTTATGTGCAGTTGTTGGATGGCCCTACTCACCTGGGTTGAATGCTCTGTTGTAAATTTGGGCGATTCGGTTGGAATTAAAACTTAGACATTTCCCCACGAAAACGGGAACTTCCTGTGATAAAGGATTCAGGCGAAGATCTCAAACTTGCAAGTCTTCACGGTAAACCTTGTTTTGCTCATCCTTTTAATATCCTCTCTTCCCTTCGGGGTAACCCCTCTGATAAGAGCGTGACAGACGGGCAGATCAAGCCCCGACAAACTACTGGTTGTTGAGGACCTCTGAAGCGGGTGCAGCGAGTGACAGGCGCTGTTGCCCTTGGCTTCAGCGAACAGTAGTTCCCCTTCCCGGGTTTCCTAACACACTTTGGCGCCGTTGCCGGGGAGGGGACTGCACCCCCAAGGCCTCGACAAGACTAGACTTAGAGTAAGAAGGATAGAGAGAGGAGTTTGAGACACTCGAGATACAAGAGAGGAACTGACTCAACTCCCAGGAGAGGGCCTTGATATCTTCATGCACCTGAGGGCCCCGCAATGATGGCAAAAAACAGCCAGCCGTTGACCAAACTGACGCCAAATTGCTGAGTGTTGACCTTTAGACGACCCATAAAATCGCAGTAATTCCCTCCCTCACAAACACCTAATCACCATCTCAAGCCACGATGTCGCTCCCCTTGACCAAACCTTGCTCCGCAATCTTAAAGAGCCACGTTCAAATAGTGAATGCCCCCTGTGCTCTATTCGAATGCGGACAGTATATAATAAAACTCAACTAACTATCAATGCGCACCACAACCGTGTGTAGCAACAAGCATCATGACAACACTCGGTTCCAAAAATGGACGCCATGATGCCGCCCCCAGAAATACACTATGCACGACACAACAACGCTTGTCGTGGGAGCCAATTCATACTAGGGCTGCGAGGTCCGCGAGCAACATGGTTGTCATCTACTAACAGAACACTTGCGCTACCTTTTATCAGATGTGCTGCACCAACTGAACTCCCCGCTGATGTCAACAACAACAAAGGAAGAGCCCGCAAATGTTGAATATGCAGCGAACCATCCAACTTGGGTAAGTTCTCTTCCTGCAGGCCAGTTCCAACAGCAAGGTGCGGGCAGACCACGCAATCCAACTCAGCCTGCCGTATTTGTCACTCAGCTGGCCGCAAACAGCATCTGCCCGCTCTTCATCCTGAACAGGGGCATGCTTGCCCGACTCTATTTCTCCCTTTTGCAAATAGTCGCAGACCGACTTTTGCACTTCGCCTCTCGCCATTGATTCTCCAAGGTACGTGCACTCTCATCCTCGTCTCCCTTCTCTCTACCTAGAGCTCCCGCAATCGCATGCTCCGATTGACAGGATGGGCAGTGCACTCACCAACAGGCAAGTTTCTAGCCCCACCGCTCGCCTCTCGCTACGTCGCCCGATATTAAGGTAAGTCTTCCGCTGATCATCGGGCACGTACACTGCACATAGTCCACCTACAGTTAGAGCATGGGAATATACACTGCTCTCTCGTCATTCAAGCAAAAAGATAGAGCGGGGGGGGGGGCTACTTCCGTCGGTACACGAGCAAAATCGAAGTGAACCTTCCGCTAGAACCCGGGTAAGTTCACCCCCCCCGTTCTTCTCACGCGCAACCTCTACAGGCTGTAGCGGCCAGACCACTCTACGAATTGAGGATCTGAGCCCGCCAGCCACTTCGTAATACTTGAAAAACAACGAAACGCATCATCACACGTCCATCTCTGCTATGTATCAGACGAGATTCAAGCTTTTTACTTCTGCTACGATCCTACCACTCCATAGTTTCGCGCAACTCTTTCACTTACTGACTCCTTTTTTGCTAACTCTCTAACCTATCCAACTCTACCAACAGACTCGCCTGCTAAAAAATCACCAATTCAACTCCTTCCCTCGTTCGATTTCTCGTCGTGGATTGAGCCGATGCCCATTCCTCCCCCTCTTCTCCCTTCGCTCCTCCATATCTCCTCGCATGACTTTTTCTACCCATCTCTTCTCCTACTAACCTACAGCCAAAACTAACTTCATAATCTAACTCGCAGATACCAAAAACTCTTGTTCCACACTTTATCTCGCTCGATTCCATTGAAAATCGAGCGAAAAATCACATTTCCCGTCTCTCTCCCTCACCCGTTCTCCATACCCGGCGCATTCGTTTTCTCTCACATCTCCTCAAACACTAACTTCCTTCCAAATCTGACTTCACAATCGTGTTCGCCTAGGCTCAAAATCCCTATCCACCATCCTACTTCGCCGGACTTTGCTAGGAATCGGCTGAGAAAAGTCATTCCTGCCCCCGCCGTTCCCTTATCTTCTGCCTCACTGTCTTCATTGTTCATTTTCGAATGCACCTAGCGCGGATTCGCGTCTAGGTTCATTCGAATTCCTTCCTTCGGTTGCTGCCAGCGACTCTCCGCTCTCCCCTGTTGATGTCACGCTCTACTTCACAGCGCATCGTCCACCAGCACCACCTCCTCTAGCCACGCCCTGCTCCGACATAGGTCACCAACTTTCAGATCGTAATGAGCACGCTCACACTCACCTCTCACAGCAGATTGCGGACGGTGCATCAGCAGACTGTGCCCCGCCTCAGCTACGACTACCCCAAGGGATCCTTCGACGGTAAACCGGTTATCCGAGAGAGACTTCAGGGGAACCAGCTGCTGGACGGTTATATTAGTCATTCGCCCCGTACCGGGTTCGACGAACAACTTGCCCAGCGGTATTGTTGTGAGTATCCTCCAGCGCGTGGGCCCATTGCCGCTCAGCAATATGCTGCGGCTCCAGCTACCCCTTCGGAGGCAACCAGCTATTGGACGGTTCACTCAGTCTTTTCGGCCCTATACCCCTAGTTCTACGAACGATTTGCACGTCGGTATAGCTGCTGCCTCCTCCTCGGCGCGTGGTTCCACAGTCGTGCACCACACTGTTGTGGCTCCAGCCATTGCTGCATTTCTCCACCGCCTCGAGCCCCCAACGGGCATGCCACCCACAGACAACGATCTTCGTTGCAGACCCGTGGCATGGTCTGAGGTGCAGCGGGTCCCCCGCAAGATCTTGGTGGTAGTATTAGGCGCTCAAATGGGAGTTTTTGATGTTCGAAGTTCAGAAGGTTTCCACACAGACAGTCGTGAGACAGTCTGGGCCGCCCAGCCGGTACAACTGCGGCCTCCCAGCAATACTTGCTGGCTTCCGCTCAGGCATAGTTCACTCACCCTCTCTCGGCAGATTGCGGGCGGTAGGCTGGGCACCTACAGTGGGCCCACAACACAGGCTTTTCCTCCGCCCCATGGGCTAAATTATCCATCGGTTCGCATGCACGTTGAACTCCTCGGTCCGCATTTGAAGATGGGTTAGGTCGAGGAATTTCGGCAGCATCTCAAACACGCGGGAATGCGTAGGTCAAACATAGAGGAGCATGCTCAAGGTCCTCGATCGCCCCGACGGCCTCCAAATCCGACGTCGTGTCTGCGTCTGAGAACGTCGGAGCAAAATAATAATACGACAGTAAATAAAAATATTTAGAAACTTTTAATCGCTAGAATATGAAGAAATGAGGAAAAAGAAAATGCTAGCACCGTCCTGATGCCGCTGACGGCAAAACCAAGGGGAATAGCCCCACCGGGCCCTCAACCCCTCGATTCCTTCGTGCCTCTCTGATATCCCGCGTCGTCGCCACTTGATCTTGATCCTTGAATCTCCTGAATGGGAGTCCGACACCGTAGCCAATAATGCTAGGCCCAAGACTGAGCCTAGTTTTCACAAATACCTATATAAATGGATATTGCGCAACGCGCAGATCTACCGAAAACGTTTTCAAAATCACGTTGTTGTCAATGCCGTCCTCCGCACGTACACACCAGTCATAGGCAAGCGCACCAATTAAAAGACAAAATCCTTTCAATCCTAGTTTTAATCATAAATAAAAACCTGGTCGGCGATCACGCCGGTTCTTCAAGCATCAACGAAAAAAAGGATCGCGTGCGCCTGAAGCCTGCGCGCCCACCCACTCTCTACTCTAGTCAGCCATTTAGTCCACGTAAACCATAGACACAACCGCACCCTCGCGCGATATACTTAAACTTTAAATCAAACTTATTTTCTGTCGTTTGCAAAAGAACAGGGCGGATATATTCGCACCGACAACGGTTGAAAGGGGAGGAGAAAACAAAGCAGATGGAGGAAGAGTTGAAGAAGAAGATGGAGGAAGAGAAGAGAAAGATAGAAGAAGAGATGCGTAAGAAGTTGGAAGAAGAAAAAAAAAAGATTGAAGAAGAAGAGAAGTTAGAGTTGTGTGTGCAGGCCGGAGAAGAGGGTATGGTGGAGTACGTGCTTCCCAGGGCGGAGGAGAAGCAGGATGCAGTTATGAGTCCACCCTGAAATTGGATCAAGAGGATGTTGCAGTCTGGGCCGCTCATTTTGATTTTGAGCCGGAGCGACCTGAAGATGAAACGAAGGAGGAAATCGAGGCATTTGAAGCGCAACTGCAGCTGGTTGATGAAGAGGAGAGGGCAATAATGATAGAAGAGAGGGAGGTGCTGATCAAAACAAGGCTGACCACACAGAAAAAGAGAGAATATAGAGAGAAGAAGAGTTTGAAGGAGGAGGGAAAAGCCTTGCGAAGGAGGTTGGAAGCACAAAAGGAACAACCAGAAGACACAGACAAAAGACTCACCCGGCTCACCATTCCACATGAGAGACCGTTGCGCTCCGAAGAACTGTTGAAAGGATGGAGGCGGTGCAGGAAGAGATGAAGGGCAAGTGGAGGCATTTTGCAGTGGCTGCCTTCAACAAGATTAATGAGAGGACACCCACTTACGCAGTCCAGCTAAAGGAGCTGACTGCAAAGAAGATAGCCCATACCATCACCGAAGAGAGGGCCTTAAGCGGAAATGGAAAGGTCATGGGAGGAGGAGAGCCGATCAAGAGGGAGAAAGATCAAAGTGAAGCTTGCTGACACATATTTTGGGAAGAGAGGATAATTTTGATCGTTGGGAGTCGTCAGTCCAATCGTACGTGTACGCCCAATGTATCTCAGAGGAAGACAAAGTTCTGATTGCTCACTCGTGTTTAGGAGGCGCTGCTGCGGATTTCGCATTGTCGCTGGCTAACGCAGCAAGCTGCGGTCGTGATATGGTGGCTTACTCGAAGAGAACCGCTCTCCATACCTTCCTGGATACGCTGCGCAACCGCTTCCAAGACAAGACTAAAACCATTAGGACCGCTGAAAAGCTTAATAGCATCCATCTTCGAAAATGGAAGAGTGTGTCAGCCTTGAAGGCCACGATGGATGAGTTGTTACAGACCGAAGATCATGGACTGACTCCTGATCAGATTTTGAACAACTTTGCTAGAGCTCTCCCCGATCCCATCAAGAGCAACCTCTATGCTAAGGTCAAGGAGAATGGGATGACCTGCGACCAGTTTAGCAAGATGGTGGTGGATCAGGCTGAAGCAAACTGTCATTGGTACAAAGACTTGGAGAAAGGAAAGCATTGGAAAGGTAAGACTATTGCGGGGAGTATTACGGGCAAGGACAACCTAGTAGTGATGTTTGAAGGAGGAGGTTGTGAGGCCCTAACTTATGATAAAATTGAATATGGATTGGATGAGGACAATGGTGAAGTCCAGGGAGGTGATTTGGCTGCTGTAGTTCACGGTGGAGGACGAGGAGGAAGAGGCGGCCGAGGTAGAGGAGGTCGTGGTTGGGGTGGAAGAGGACGTGGCTATCAAGGGGAATGCAGCAATGGAGGTTTTGCAGAGGGAGGTGAGGGTTATGGACCCCCACAAGATAACACCTGCTGAGCCCCCCAACATCAAGGCAAGGGTAGAGGAAATTACAATGGCAATTCAGGTGGCAGAGGAAGGGCACCGCACAAATATCCATGGCACCCTTGACGTCCAGAGGGGGAACCATGAAAGGAATTGAACATGACCTACGACTTGTGGGCCAAGGGACTCCAAGAGGGGACCTGCATCAAATGTGGAGAGGCAGGCCATATCATCCCTTGGTGCCTTGAGTTCCGATCGCCGTCAAAAGGCAACAACCGGTTGGAGTGGCAACTGCTCCTGTCGGGGCCTTGGGTACATCACAAGAAACGCGTGCTGTAAGAGACACCTCCAACCCGAGGACCCCGATGAAAGAGGCTGATGTAGGCCCCCACCTAGATAGTCGTCCAGAGACTGCTTGTGCTAGGGTCTCTCTAGGCGGCTCTCTGGCAGGCATTGGTGATGCACTGATCACTCGTCGCCCCGCCTGGGCTGAAATGAAGAAGAGAAGAGGGCAGCTGATTTTGGCAGATGTAGAGATTAGCCAAACGCGAGTGGGAGCTTTAGTGGATAGTGGCTCTACGTGTAGTTTCATTAGTAGAAGAGGACGGAAGAAGTTGCACCATTCCAGACATTGAGTGAGCCGGTAGTGAGTAGACTGCTCGATAATCACCAGATGCGAGTGGAGGAGTACGTCGAGGGGATCAAGGCATACTTCTGGTTAGAGGAGGGAAAGAAGGTAGAAAAGGTTTTGCATTTCCTCACCCTCTTAGTGAAGGACAACCTTCCCTTTGATCTGATTTTAGGGACTGACTGGGGAGAAGCAGCCATGGCAGTTGTCAAGTTGGGCGAGCATGAGTGCTGGCTGACCAGCCCCACCGGGGGCAAGAAGAAGATAAGGTTGTTCCATGAGTCCGGTCTAGAGTCCCACTTGTCTGTTTGTTGTATGAGTGCCCCTGCGTTCGCCCGACACGTGACAAAGGAGAAGTTGGAAGATCAGGTCTTTATGGCCTATGTGAAACCGGTGAGTGAAGAAAGTAAAGGCGAAGAGAAGACACCACCCAAGTGGAGAACCTGCTGCAAGAGTTTGCTGATGTGGGAGAAGCCACAAGCGGAGTGGTAGAGCGGGAGATCAAGCACCGGATTGAGATAGAACCCGATGGCAAGATTCCCAGGGGCGCGGTTTATAGGATGTCTCCCAAGGACCTTGATGAACTGTGCAGGCAGCTATATGAGCTAATTGAGAAGGGTTGGGTAAAGCCGAGTTCATTACCGTACGGTGCACCAGTTTTGCTCGTGCCAAAGAAAGAGGGTGAATTGCGATTGTGCATTGATTACCGGGGATTGAATGCTATCACGATTAAGAATGTTGAACCGTTGCCTCAGATTGGTGATTTGTTAGACAGGGTGCAAGGATGTAAGTATTTCTCCAAGATTGATCTGAAGTCCCGGTACCACCAGATTGAGGTACAGCCGGAGGACCAGCACAACATGACCGTTAGGACTTGCTATGGACACTACGAGTTTGTAGTGATGCCGTTCAGATTGACTAATGTCCTTGCAACATTCCAAAGATGCATGAATGATTTGTTTGGAGATCGGTTGGATAAATTTGTTGTTGTTTATTTAGATGATATTCTGATTTTAGCAAGAGTCTGGAGGAGCATTAGACTCATCTACGTCGGATCTTGACTAAGCTGCGTGAGTCTAACTTCAAGATCAATCCGAAGAAGTGTGAGGGGGCTAAACGCCAAGTCCTGTATTTGGGACACGTGGTAGATGGAGATGGAGTCAGGTCGGAGGACGCCAAGATAGCAGCAATTTGTGATTGGCCAACCCCGCACACTTCGACTGAGTTGCGGTCGTTCTTAGGATTGGCTAACTACTACTGGAAGTTCGTTCGTAACTTCACTTTCGTTGCTGCCCTCGTTGCTGCCCCCTTGCGCAGACTGTTGTGGAAGGAAATTGGGACAAGGACTGTACAGCAGCCTTCAAGAAGTTGAAGAAGCCCCTCATCGAGTACCCGATCCTCAAAGTAGCCGATCCATCCTTACTGTTTGTTGTAACTACCGATGCAGAGCCCGTTGAGTTTATGTCTTTTGGGCTCCCTAGTGATAAGGTAGCAGCCTCGACTTAGTGTGAGTTCCTCGGCCTTCAACAGGTTGTGGACCATTTGCGGCATTACCTGCTAGGGCGACACTTCAAGGTATATTCAGATCATGAGACTTTGCATTGGTCAAAGACCCAGGCCCGGATGACTCCTAAGTTGACTAGGTGGGCTGAGGAAATTGATCAGTTTGATTTTGAGTTGAAACCTGTTTGATTTTGAGTTGAAACCTGTCAAGGGTAAGTACAACGTCGTCGCTGATGCATTGAGTAGATGTGCAGATTTCTTTGGTACAATTGTGACTTACCTAGATGCTGGTGCAAATCTGCAGCAAAAGATCAAGGCTGCATATGTTGATGACCCCGTGTATAGTACGTTGATAAAGACGGTGCAGACCACACCTCAAGAAGTGCCTGATTTCAGAATGGCCGATGGATTGTTGTTTGAGAAGACTGATGTGCATAATAGGTTTTGCATACCGTGTAGTGAAGAGGTACGCAGTCTGATCCTAGGGGAATGCCACGATACTGAAGGCCACTTTGGTTGGCGGAAGACCTACGCTACCCTACTTAGATCCTACACGTGGCCAGGCATGAAACATGATTGCATCACCTACATCCAAGGCTGCCAAGTCTGTCAGAGGAACAAGAGTTCCACGCAGCCTCCCCTTGGACTGTTGAAGCCCCTGCCTATTCCATCCGACCGCGGTGAATCTGTATCTGTTGATTTTATGGACACTAAGATCAATAGTAGTGGGAAGAGTCAAGTCATGGTCATAGTTGACAGGTTTAGTAAGTTTGTCGTTTTTGTAGCATTACCTGCTGAATCAAAGACAGATCTGGTCATCAAAAAGAGTTAATTAATCATTGGGTCAAGGATTACAGTCATCCGTTGAGCATAGTGTGGCATACTCAGTACCACACGGGCCCGGCAGGGCCCGACCAGGTAGACTAGGGGTCCGTAGGTGTAGGGCCTGTTTCGTTTCAGCCTAAAAGCCTAAAAACGAGGGCCATTTTCAGGCCCTCATAAAGTCGACCTGACCTGAAACTTAGGCACCAGACCAGGGTTTTAGCAGAGGCCATTTTGGGCCTGTTTTCAAGACAACCTTTGTTTGAACTTCAACGCCAGGGTCTGGCACGTTTTGGCATTGGCAAGAGCAGCCTCCTGGACGGGCCAGCACTATATAAGACTGGCCTGCCCTACAGGCTGCAGGCGGTCAGGAGGCAGTTCATAGGAACTTCCCAGGCACTTCACGTGCAGGAGGCAGGAGGTAGTCTTCAGGATTCGGCAACAGCGCTCTGGAGGAGCGTTGCAGGAGTAATAGTAGCGCTAGCAATAGTCTTCAGCCCTGGGCGCTAGTAGGAGCTAGAGTAGCGTTGGAGAGAGAGAGATGGTTGTCAAAGGCCAGGGAGACTTACCTGTGGCCCCATAGCTCCACCTTCGTCTTCGATGTACCTACAACAAGGCGCCACCTTCACGGGTTAGTACCAGAGAGAGAGAGAGAGAGAGAGAGAGATTTCTTCTTCCTCTTCTAAGTCCACCATCTCTTCCTCACCCTCTCGCTATCTCAGTATCTGTAGACTACGAGAGAGAGAGATTGGTGACTTTGGGACTTGACGACATTTGGATCCAAACTCGACATTGGGATTCAGACATTTGACGAGGGATTATTTGGGACTGTACCGAAGACTTGGTGTTGACGACATTCCCATCTTCCCCTCGTCTTCGTTTGTGTATAGTTGGGGACTGGCGCATTCTTCCTGTGTGAGCGCCAGGCCCCTTCACACCATGGAATGATGATGATGTATGTTTGGCCTGCATGGCAACATTTATTGTTCGGATCATTGGTATTTAAGCCTTCCGCTATCTTGTATTATGTGAGAGAGGTCGGTTCTTTGTTCTGGTCTGTACCGTTACGGTTTGCGACAATAGTTAGTGACCGAGATACCTGGTTTACAAGGGAACACTGAGAGCAGTTAATGAAGGTCTACGGATCTAAGTTAGCTATGTCATCTGGACGCCACCCTGAGACAAATGGCCAGACCGAGCAGATGAACAAGGTCCTACAGCAAGTACTGCGTATGTATATAAGACCAGACCAGGTAAATTGGGATGAGCATCTTCCCAAAGTAGCTAGTGCATATAATAACTTGGTTCACCTAGCTACCTCGCGGACCCGAATGAGCTGCATAGAGGCTAGAGTCCCCAACGTCCCATAGACTGTATGAATCCTGATCAGATCGAAAGGTCGCCACCTGGCACACGTCAGTTTGACATTCAGTATGAGAAGGGTTTGCAACATGTGGCTGAGAACATCAGGAAGGCCCAACATCAGATGATGGAACAGGCGAACAAGCACCGTCGTCCGTCACAGTTTGCGATAGGTGATCTTGTCTGGGTTAAGTCTAAGGAGTTTATTCCCGAGGAAGGGATTTCGCAGAAGTTGCTACCTGCATACAGAGGGCCGTGGCAAGTGCTATATGTCAAAGGTGACGCAGATGGACCGTCATACACCATCGAGATTCCACCCCATCTGCACACCTATCCCGTTTTTCACGCCTCTAAGCTCCTTCCCTGTGTGACTAATGATGCATTCCCCTCGCGCAGATCTATGATTCCACCTGATATGGATGGAAGATATGATGTAGAGAAGATTGTAGCTGAGGATACCTTCCGTACAGGTCGTAGAGGGAGACCGCAAAGACAATACAAGGTCAGATTTGCTTATCAGGATCCCAGCGAAGATCGCTGGTTCACCAAGGATGAGTTAGTTCAGACAGCCCCTCATATCGTGTCATATTATGAGCGGGCACGCCGAGGATTGAACATCTGTGACCGTTGAAGTTCTGATTTTTCTCGGAGGGCCTTGAAATTAGGCCGGCGGGAGTGAACGGATTCACGCTGTGAGCTTTCCCAGTCCCGGTTCTAGGGTCCCTAATTACCACAGTCCAGGCCCCAATAGTTTAGAGCATAGTTGCGGCGCACCAGTGCGCAGTGCGGTGTGGGGCAGTGCGCACTGCGCTGTGCACTGGAACGACAGCGCGCGCACTGTGCGCTGTGCGCAGTACGCAGTGCCTGTCTCTTATACACATCTAGATGTGTATAAGAGACAGCTGTAAGAGACACCTCCAACCCGAGGACCCCGATGAAAGAGGCTGATGTAGGCCCCCACCTAGATAGTCGTCCAGAGACTGCTTGTGCTAGGGT